ATATATATATATATATATATATATATATATATATATATATATATATATATTGCTCCAGACGAGAAACCGCGCGATATCTTCACGGTTATTCTGTTGCTGCGGTTTACTCTCTTCCCCTACAAATTGAATTAGAGAGACTATGCAAAAGAAGTACGGATACAGTGCAGCGCAGCTAACAAACAACACGCATGCGCGCTCTTTCTCAGCAGCTAGCAATGCCTATATACTTTATTACTGGGTGTAAAACAACAAATAAACCCTAAACCCTAAACCCTAAACCCTAAACCCTAGTGGTGCTTCGCACGCGTCAAGGTCTGCCGCCACTCCTCCTCCGTCTTCTGCTGGAAAGTTGAACTGGCCATCGTTGCTGCTGCTGTGAAAGCTGAAATAAAACAACGAAGACAAAACAGAGAAGAGAAGAACGATGAAAATAAAGCCAAAGGAATGGTGATCTCAAAACAAAAATTCTCGATGAGGTGAGGTGTGCAGACACCCGATACTGTCGGGCGTGGAATATGGAGGAAACTGAAAACTTCACTGGAAACACAAACATAGAGAATATGAATAAGATATATTTATGTAGATTTGCATATTCTACCTCCTTCTAACTAGTAAACTTGTGTTGCTACAGTGTGTGTGGTTTCTTGCCTGGAGAGCAGAGCCTGTTAGTTGTTGGCCTCAGCCGCAAACTCGAAGAAATGCTGTTCTGACGACAGGCAGGGAAAGCAGTGCAAGCCAAGAAAAGAGGAAGAGAGGAACAGAGCCAACGCATCGCTCGATCCGTTCAAGCAGATGGAGGGTCGTGCATCGGCAGCATGCAGGTGGTGTTATCTTTACACCAATCAAAATACTCTATAAACAGATCACAAAAAACAAAGAAAATATTAAGTTTTTGCTTTGCAAAGGAACAGATGAACTGTGAAACTACATACAACGAGCAGCTTCTGTATCATGGCACAAGGACGGGGCTTTCAGAGAGAGAAACTACTGTGTGTCTTTCATTCCCCCTACCTTCAACACAGAAAACGTATATTTGCATTTGTTTTATTTATTTTTAATACGGAACAGATGCATCTGCATTTCTCTAGGGGCTACGTTAGCAGGTTTCTCTTGGGGTATTTGACGGCGTTCGTTGACGGGTAGCCTGAAAATGCAACCAGGTGATCTTCATAAATTTTTTGTTGCGCGAGCTTATTCATCTTAATAAATTTAGCTGTATTTTTTGCAGTTCTCTATATCCATTTCCTTTCGGGGCTCGTGCGTCTAAGGAATTCAGCCAACGGCTGCTCTCGGTTTGTCTATGTACTCTGTGAAACTGCAGCTGCTCATCACTTCGATTGCATCGTATTAGGGGGCGGCAGCGGGGGCATTGCTTTCGCGAGAAGAGCGGCAACATATGGAGCAAAAGTTGCATTGGTGGAACACAGCCGCATGGGCGGCACCTGCGTCAACGTGGGTTGTGTTCCCAAGAAGGTGAATCAGCAGAATCATCAGAAAAATACAGAGAATCCAACATTTTTTTTAAATACACGGAACTCATTTACTTTGTTTTACCCTTCATACTCTTTAACGGATCAAATAAACCTC